TTTAATTTTTTAATTTAAAATTTTTATCATAATATCTTATCATAATTTTTTTTTTTCGGTTGTTTACCTAAATATAGTAAGTAAAGATTAAAGATTTGGTTGTTTACAAGTTTTCAATGAAAGGTGTACTTATGATACTTTTCTTTTATTAAATATAAAAATGCCAACCTTATTGATAATGATTGATTAGGTTGGAGCGTTGGACCAATGATCTAAGTTAGATTTCTTAATTTATTTAACTAATAACCTCAGTTTATTATTTAAAATAATTTTCAAATTTGTATTGTCCTTTACAAGAGAAATTATAATGTTTGTAGTCTAGACACATAGAACTGTTCGATTTTGTGATTGTGAACAGTAAAAGCGCAGTGGTTAATAGTTATTGTCATGTTATTGTTCAAAGTCAGAAAACTGAATGGTTCTCTGTGTCCAGACTCCACACTTAGTAATCTCTCCCTATACAGAGGCTGAGATTTTTTTAAATGCAATAGCTATAGACTTCCATCATTATTATCATGGAGTTTTATAGTTCTAATATCTTAAAAATATAGTGAATTTTTCAAATTAAAAAAAAAATAGTGAATTTTTCAAATTAACACTAATTAATAAAAATAGCTCAAACGAAGGAGAAAGTAGTAATCAAACGAAATTATGATTATTTTCTAAAAGTCAAAAGAGCTAGAAAGTTGTTCCATAGAGATCCTAGATCTATAGAAACCATTTGTTTGTACAGATCAATAATGAATTGAATTAAATAAATAAAATATTTTTTATTAATGATAATTAAGGCTTCGTTTCCGACAGCTTTCGTGCTGCTTTTTAAAATGGCTTTCTAATATCAAAATTTCAAATTTAAGAAATTTTTATACTAGAAAGTCGTTTTAGAAAGCAAGAAGAAAGTCGTTTCAAACGAAGCCTAAATCTACAAAATTTAAACGAAGACATTGATAAGTCAATCTATAGATAATTGTTCACAAATCTAAAATATTTAATGATGTATGTAGAAGTTGTTTAAGCAAATTAATAATCTCAAAAGGCTGTCCAACTTTTTAAAGTTCATTCTCTGTTTTCTTCATTCCAAAAACAAGCCAAGTTATCAATTGGTTAGGAAAGGCAGGCAAGATTAAGGTTTCATTTGGGACGGTTTTTGTACTGATTTTTAAATTAGTTTTTTTAATATAAAAACTTTTTAAATTAAATTTTTTATATTAAAAAGTTGATTTAGAAAGCAATAAAAAAGTGTACGTATCCAAATTACAAATGGACAAATTAGCAGTTACTGACGAGCATATAACCCAATATTCATTTAGGCTTCGTTTAAGGCGGCTTTCTTAATGATTTCTAAATCATCTTTTTAGTTTAAAAATTTTTTAGTTTATGATTTATTTACTAACAAAGAAAGAATCCTTCTATTCATAAATTAAAACAGAGCTAACATTTTTTTAAAAAAATTAATTTTTTAACTAGAAAGCTGCTTCTAGAAGCAACAAAAAAGCCGTCCCAAACGAAGCCTAAATCTCCTATGTGATATCTGGCTGAAGGAAATGTT